TTTTTTTGTTCATTTGAACTATTTTTTTGCCCATTTAAACTATTTTTTTGTTCATTTGAACTATTTTTTTGCTCATTTGAACTATTTTTTTGTCCATTTGAACTATTCTTTTTTTCATTTGAACTATTTTTATGTTCATTTGAACTATTTTTGGTTTATTTCATTAATAATATTTTAATAGTTCAAATGAAAATAGTTCTAATGAACTAAAAAATAGTTTAAATGAGTAATATATTTATTCGTTTGAACTATTGTTCATTTCAACTACTCACGTGGTCCCACGTGCAGTATATAGTTGAAATGAACAATAGTTCAAATGAGCCATAGTTCAAACGGCAGTAGTTCAAATGAAATAGCACCCTCGTCCCATATCATATTAGATTATCTCCAATCTTTAACACCAAAATACGCACATAATACTCGAAAAATCTAGCATTTTCTGCCAAAATAAATTTCTGTTAACCTTATTAATTTTCAAAATGATTCATTCTTCTTAAATTTAACTATTGTTCGTTTAAACTATTGTTCGTTTGAACTATTGTTCATTTGAACTACTGACATGACGTCATATCCTGTGTTCAAATCAACACATTTCTTGCTCATTTGAGCTACTTTTCACCGCAATTCAGTTTTAAATTTTTTTTTAATTCATCATATAAAGTTAGTTCGAGACAAATATAATTAGATCAACAATTTATACACAGAAATGTTTCAAATAAACATAAAAATAGTTTAAATTAACATAAAATAGTTCAAATGAACATAAAAATAGTTCAAATGAACAAAAAAATAGTTCAAATGAACATAAAAATATATAGTTCAAATGAACAAAAAAATATAGTTCGAGAAAAAAAGTTGAAATGAACTTAAAATATAGTTTAAATAAAAAATAGTACAAATGAAATAGTTCAAATTTGAAATAGTTCAAATGAATTATAGTTCAAATGAGAAAAAAATAGTTCAAATGAAAAAAAATAGTACAATGAAAAATAAACAAACAAAGGACAGGCTAAGGGGGCCGAGCGCTGCGGCCACGGGTTAGGTTAAGTTATGACACTTCCTTTTATTATTATAGGGTTATGGTTAGGTTAAGACACTTTCTGGGCCAAACGCTGGGGCTAGGACAGGCTAGGGGGCCGAGCTCGCTGCAGCCACGGGTTAGGTTAATTGTTATGACACTTTCTGGGCCGAGCGCTGTGGCTAGGATTCAAATTTTATTTTTTTTCTCATTTGAACTATTTTTTGTTGATTTGAACTATTCATTTGAACTATTTCATTTGAACTATTTTTTTTGTCATTTGAATTTTTTCATTTGAACTATTTTTTTTCATTTGAACTATTTCATTTGAACTATTTTTATGGATCCATTTGAATTATTTTTTTGTTCATTTGAACTAATTTTATGTCCATTTGAACTATTTTAATGAATTTATTTGAACTATTTTTTTGTTTATTTCGTTTATATTAATAGTTCAAATGAAAATAGTTCAAATGAACTAAAAAATAGTTCAAATGAGCAATATATTTACTCATTTGAACTATTGTTCATTTCAACTACTATATGCATGTGGTACCATACGTGCAATAGTTCAAACGGGAGCTTATAGTTCAAATGAGATATAGCATCTCAAAATTATCAACATTTTCTGTCTTTCCAATTTGCAAAATTTGAACTATAAAAACCAAATTATGAACATTTTCCTTGTACCGTCCAATACAATTGCCCAGTTTCAATATTTTGTCCAGACAATTCAAAATCAATGAACGTGAGAAGTATAATATCAAATTATCAACATTTTAAGTCTTTCCAATTTGCGAAATTTGAACTATAAAAACCAAATTATGAAAATTTTCTTTGTACCATACAAAACATCAAATTCAGGGAAAACGAATTTTCACGTACTGTAACATTAAGTTCAAGCTTGAATTACTAATTTGTTGTTGAAAATTCAAACTAAAATTACTCGTTTTATACCAAATTTTAGAAACATTTTCTATGTAGGGGCTCATGTCTCCCTGCACCCGGGGGCCCCCCGTACCGCGATCGTAGTACGTGTTTATAGGTGATCCTGGGGATGTCCATTTACAACCCATCTTGGCTTGGCACCCCCCCTTGGGAAATTCCCATGGTTATACGGGCTTTCATACAGTGAAACCCTTAAAATAACGAATACATCGGAAGAATCGGAAGTTAATTTAGGAAATGTCGTCTAAACAATTTTTCAATATGAGTTTTATACTATATTACGTAAATTTCAGTATTTGCGAAAATAAATAAATAGCCATGAATATGCGGGAACAGTTTTAAAGAGAATTCCATATAATCATTATAATTAAAAACTATAATCTGCAACCCATTAAAAGAAAGTGAAGAATACGACATTTCATGAATTCTTTCGATGTACATTCTTTATTTAGGATTTCACTGTATATAACTAAATTATAATCAATTAATAATAATATAATAAATTGGCTGGTGTAATTCTTTTATCTTGAAATTTGGCGCCAAACATCTCCCGCCAAAACAATGAACCCTGAGATTTTCAGGACGAGAGAGAGGAGCGGGCCGAGACTCCAACTATCGAGATTCCATCATCCGCTTCTACAGCTCCGCTTCACATTTTCTCTCTTTATATACATACTAAACTTCCTATACAGTGAGACAGCCGGGAGGAAGGGGGGGGGGGGGGGCTGAGAATGCCTAGATAGCAATACTGAGAGAGAGACAGGTAGAGGGGCCACACTTATTTAAGAAGGCCACAGGGGTAAATGCTCCTCACTTTTATAGATTTTAAACTATAAAATAAAAAGCTATGCTTGATTTTAAATTTAGTTTAATACTACTTAAAGTAAGAGTTTTATATTGCATTACACGAACGGATGCACACAAACGGCTTGAGAGGTATGGATCCGGAAAAGGGAGGGATTGAGCATTATCATTGTACAGGTTCGGTCGCACTCGCAAACCATGAAAGAGATCATTTAAATTTAACATTCACGGTTAAAACTTAAAATTTGCCTATCCGCCCGGTGTTCATTGACTGTAAATAATTCTTTAACTTATCTTTAAAGGGGGGAAGGCGACCCGCACCCGTTTGACTTCAGACCCGCAGATGACGTCTCAAAACGGGTTTGCGGCATGCGCAATTACCCCAATGCTGCTGACCCTCACTCCCCTCACCCGTTGGCCTTCCGGCAAAATTTCTTAAATTTTATATTCTAATTATAGACGAATGAAGCATTAATTTAAATTTATAAAGACTGGTATCTATCATAGATAACTTATTCATGATATTTTTTGTTTGTAACAGTAGCACATCTACCCACTGAAATCATGGGGACAGTTTTAAATTCAGATCAAACAACATTTTAGTGTAGATAGCATATGCAGCATGTTTTGATTTACCTCACTTATCTTTCTACCTGCACATTTATTTGTATTCATAAGATTTTTAGATATTACTTAAGCTTTTAAATTTTTAAATTTTAAATAACCAGTTGTGCCCGACTGATGCGGTCCAAAAGAAAAAAACTATTTTCAGACTTAAAATAATTGCCTTTACAACTTAAGACATTTTGTGGAAGGCCACTGGTGAGGGTCGGACGTAGGGTTTCCACGAAATGGCTAAATCTTTTGCGCAAAATTTTCGCTATTTTCGCGCAAAATTTTTTTTGCGAACTTTTGCGCTATTTTTGGTTGCCTCCAGTTACAAAAAGTTTAAATTAGAGAGTGTGAAACTTGGCAATATTTTAATCCTATTAAATAATTTCAAGTGACCCTTAAAAGT